GCCAACAGCTGCACCCGGTTTTCCTTTTTTTTTTTTTTTTTTTTTTTTTGTAAATATGGTGCAACAATTGACTTTGTAGCCTCTAAAATGCTAAATATTAATTTTTTTTTATTTTCAGGCACATATTAACTTGTTTCCTGGAAGAGAACATATTGAGTTATGCTTCATATGTCTTTAAATTCTAGAGAAGCAGTTTCGGAAGACGTGGTTTTCAAACCCCCAAGCTACCAGTCTTGTATTTAACCCTCCTAAAGTCTTTTGTCATGGTAGGATAGGGGAGGCTGGGGCAAGCGTAAGTCTGTCGGTTCCCAAAACCACATAAAAAAAACCTTATAAAAGAGTAGAAATCTTGTGGGGTCCATCTAATTTCTTAAGACCCCAGGAGGGTTGTTGGGGTTGGAAGAGAAAATGTGTAGTTTGTACATTTTGCTTTCCCATCATATGCCTTTTTATACATTGAAGTTGCTTACATTTTCTTCCTGAAACTAAACTGTTCTTTGATGTGAGTTTTCCCCAACTGATCACAGTTCTGTTCCCGTTTCTGTAGGTGGTGTCTGGTGGAAGACTGCCATGGCTTTGCTGCGTTGGAACCTAAAGCTTATGGTGACATTGACGATGGTCAACCTCTTTATCTTCATCCTCATCTCGCGTAACAGCAGCACAGACAAAGATGGCCGTCGGAAGCCCACTGTTCCCACCGATCCATTCTGGACCAAGCTGGCCCCCAGATTCCCCTACTGGAACCGCCAGCAGCAGATCATGGATCTTCAGCACAATCCCATCATCACCTTGAACTCCAGCATTGCAGACTTGCCCGACTGGCTCAACGACACCAGTTTACCTTCCGATCCCTGCCAGCCCAACCTTGGGGTCAGAACTCAGGTTAAAGACTACAATTCTTTACCGAACCGCTTCAAGGACTTTCTGCTATACATGCGCTGCCGGTCCTACCCCGTCCTCATGGACCAGCCGGACATCTGTAATGACCCCCCTTTCCTGCTCCTCGCCATCAAGTCCCTGGCGCCGCACTTTGTCAGACGCCAGGCCATCCGCCAATCCTGGGGCTCGGCAGGCATCGTCGCCAACATGACGGTGGTCACCGTCTTCCTTCTGGGGAACGCCACAGCTGTTGACCACCACCCAGATCTGTCCGAGATGCTGCAATACGAGAGCCGACGACACAAAGACATAGTGCAGTGGGACTTTAGAGACTCCTTCTTTAACCTGACGGTTAAAGAGCTCCTCTTCTTGGAGTGGATCCAGACCCGTTGCCCTGGTGCCCGCTACATCTTCAAGGGTGACGACGACGTCTTTGTCAACACCTACCGTATCCTGGGCTTTCTCAAGGGCCTATCAGGACCCAAAGCCAGGGACCTGTTTGTGGGTGACGTGATTACCAACGCGGGGCCCCACCGGGACAAAAAGGTCAAGTACTTCATCCCAGAGAGCATGTACACCGGAACGTACCCGCCATACGCAGGAGGAGGGGGCTACCTTTACTCTGGAGACCTCGCCGCCCGCCTGCATAACGTCTCGCAACACGTGGTACTCTACCCCATCGACGACGTCTACACCGGGATGTGCCTCCGGAAGCTGGGGCTCGCGCCGGAAAAGCACAAAGGATTCCGGACCTTTAACATAGAGGAGAAGTACCGGTCGAACCCGTGCGCTTACAAGAGCCTGATGCTGGTTCACCCCAGGACGCCGCAGGAGATGATCCAGATCTGGTCCTGGCTCAATCGACCTGACATCACCTGCCAGTGATCAGACCGACGGGACCCACTTGGCTCAGTTTGGCCCCGAAAAGTGACATGTTTTTTATCTTGAACAGGGTCATGACTTAAAAGTTGGCAGCTTTAATAAGACTACATAAAGCTGTGGGAGAGTAAGAAATTATTTTCTCGAGCTAATTCAACAGGCTTAGCTTCTTTCAAAGTGAATGTCTTCAAAAATGGATATTTATGTCTGCTATTTATGAAAGCTTTATACTGCTTAAACACTGTCAACTCCACAATGGAGGTTCTCAATGCTGTATTAATATAGAGTAATATAGAGAAAACCATGATAACATCATCCCTCTTACTCTGATGGAAAGTTATAAGAAGTATTGGTGAAAAAAGCACCAAACAACCGGGTTCACTGGCAAGAAAAGGCGATCCCAGGTAACACTTTGTAGTTTTTTTGTGTGTTTGTTTTTATTTCCTTGAGGCTTATAAACTGTGCTGCTATTCCCATCATCCTCCCTGAAGTATTTACATGCAACACTCCAAGCAGAGCTTCAGCATGACTTTTATTAGTATGTCTTTTTAAATGAGTCGCTTATCTGATCAGAAAGAGTGGTGTTGCAGAAATCCATAGCTGTTTCACATTGTCTGTAATAGAGATACTTTGCTTTCACGTGTTTTTTTGTGGATACAGCAGACTGGGTCTCTGGATAAAATGGTGGCCTGGTTCTGTTTCGCTCAGCAGGATGAAAGGTGAGCTGGAGTAATCCAAGGGTTAAAAAAACCTGGATGTGAATTTTATTGAAGATTAGGTTTTTATTTATCATGAGTCGATAATCAGTGCTAAATCTTCCCACTAGAATATCTGTCAAAACATCAAACATTACGTTTCCATCCCATCACGAAGCTGATGCTGAAATGTTTACCAGTTGATTTTTTTTTTTTTTTATGTTTTCTAAAATGGTCCAGATTCATTTTAGGAGGAAACTATTATCAGCTTTATAGTTAGTGCTTTTTCCTGTTTGTGTCACTTTTCTTTTTAAGGAAAGCTGCATTTTGTCTTGATTATGTTCATTACAGCGATATGAAAAGTAGAAGAAATGCACTCTGCACAAGATGTAAATGCAGATACAAATGCTTTTCTCTGTTAGGATTCTGATAGAAAATGTCTGAAATGTCATTTTTAGTCTGAAGCTGATCCTATCTGGTCAAACCTCACATTATTTTCCGTTAAAGAAGCTCCCCCTGCTGGTCAGGGGGATAAACTCAGGCTTGTCAATGTTTTGTATGCAAACTGATGTCTCTAGATTAGAACTGGTTTTATTTTTACTATCAGATTAGATATTCACTCTGTTGCTTCTTAGAATCCCCACCCAGCTGTCGCCTGTGATTTGATTGTCTTTGTCTCTGTCTACTTTAAAATATTAAAACAACACTAAAACGAGCTAAAGAATCAACAGCCACTCAATTTATACTTTAAAAAGTTTAAATACAAGTAAAAACACATTTTTAATTGTTTTTTTTTTAAATCAGTAATTGGTTAAATTATCTCTCAGAACAGTTGGTGGCTACTTGACATGTTTACTTGGTGTCCTATTCATACATTTTAGCAAATTTCTTTGACTGTTCTGGGGGTTTTTTCACACTCTAGTTGGATTACATCTTGCTTTTACCTTTTGTTGTGTAAAGCTTACAGTTGCCCTTCCTCAGACTCACCTCAGATAATCCACTTCAATGTTTCCAAACTAAGGAGTTTTCACATCATGTTTGCTTTTCTAAAACCCAACAGTTTTTTACTTGTCACACAGTCGAAACCACACATAAGTCCAAAATGATCACCAAACCAGATATACTTGCACTGTATGTGTGAGGATGTTCTTCAGTTGCGTTAATTAAGCTTGTTTTAAGCAAATTATTTAATTTTCAATAAAGGTATTTTTTTGTATGGTGATCTGTTATTTAAAATAAATAAATTGTTAATGTAAAACCTATGAAAGCTTCCTAACTAGCAAATGTTCTTCTGCTTTATAGCAAAACTTTAATAACACTTCAATAATTCAGCTCTTTGCCAAGTGCTTCCAAACTGTCCACTTGCTCTGTACCAGGTTATTCGGCAGTCTGATTTCTACAAAATGACCCAAAAAAAATTTACAGGGAGAAAAAATATAGACAACTATGGCTCCAGAGAACACTTATTTTCCAGCAAGACAATAACCCAGGTGAAACTACACAGAAATTGTTTCAGGACAACGTGGGTGTTCTGGAGTGGCTCAGTCAAAGCCCTCAATCCCATAGATAATTTTTAGCAGGACTTCAGCAGAATGGGACAAAATTATAGTCTCCAGATATGACTGAGACATATCCATTCTGGACAACTATATGCTGTTGTAGCTAAAAGTGAATCTAAATACTGACCTGAAGGAATTGATACTTGTATAATGACTTATTTTGTGGTACATGTCATTTTGTCATTAAAATGCATCTTAGTAAAGAAAAAAAAATTTGTGAAAATAACTTAATTTTGTTGATCAGGATGGATTTGTAAAGAGCACCATTCCTTGGATGCTCTTTGATGAATAGAGCATCAAAGGAATGGGTAAGTTTTATAGGCACAGTTAGATGGCACAAAGCTCCAACACTGCTTTACCAATACAGCAAATCTTTAGCTTATAAAAATCTTTTTTTAAAATTAATTTTGTAGATTTTTATGGTTTCTGGGTTTATTGCATTGTTTGAGAACACGAACAAAATTGTAGCACAATTGCTACAATTTTGTTCCAATTGTAGCAATAGCCTTTTTGTAAAAAAAAATAAAATAAAATAAAATAAAAAATTGGTGTGATAGCAACTTTCTGCCAGCAGAGGGTAGCATTGTTCAAAGAATTGTTGAGAAATTACTGGAGATTTTTGTTGACACCCATTCCTCCTTACAGAGTCTGTGTCTTCAAGTGTAGCTTGTCGTTAGAAATTCAAATAAAGATCATAATCACAGTCTTCAAACAGGATGTGGGGTCTAGTTCGGTCTGTGTGTTTAGTTGAACTGATAAACATACTGATCCTCCACTCTGGAGCTTTTGGATCAACAAGGACACAAGAGGGATGACCATCGGTCACTGCCAGCAACAGATCTAATCAGAGCAGACAAGGGACTGGTGTATTTACTTGTTTTAATAGCAAAGTTACACCATAGTCCAAATAAAAGAATAGGGAAAAGAAGGTTGTTTTTTTTAGCATTACATTTCTAAAAGTATTAAAAACTGTGTGTCATCATGTTTTGTAGCCTTTTCAATAAATACAGGCTATATCTGATTTTTAGTCAGGCATCTGCTGAGGCTTCGTCTTTGCGTGTATCCTCTGTCTCACGTGGGGATAAAGGAAAGAGGAAATTGTTGGCAGGACAACCGTATCCCTAAGGCATGGGAATGAAAAACAGGGATATCCAAAGTGGGAGTTCCTCAGACAGAGATCCAAAAGTTAGATTTTTTTTTTTATGGAGAGCTGTTTCAATTGAGATGGATGGCATTTGATTTTTTTTTTTCAAAGGTCTTGATGTGCCCTATCAGAGGCGCTGCCAAATAACTAAAGATCCTTGTATATGACATTATATTTTTCTTTGTTTCATGAAGTCTTTGAATTAATTTAAAATGGTAAAATACAATAAAATATTATCCCTCTTGTTTCAAACTATCTAAATTATCTAGTACCGGAGGTGAGCTAATTCTATATATTTTTATTTTTCCATTTTCCTCTTCCTCCATTTGGACTGATGAGTTGCATCCTGTCGGCTGAGATTTATCCTCAGGAAGATTTCAGCACCTTGTGTCTCGCATCCTGCAGTGATATCCTGTTGAACCCATAGAATAAATTTAGACAAGAACATTTCTGTCCCTGTACATCTGAGGACAGGTTACTTTATCGTAACCAGGGGCCGTCTGTTGCAGGTGATTGAGTCAAGAAAATGAAAAGAGTCTTAAAAAGAGCACATTCAACCATATGAGGGTCATTTTCCCTGCAGTCCCTGGAAAGTTGATGGTAGACAGTAAAACACTGCCCCTGTTTTATAGATATAGAAAATGATGTAGAAAATGTTCACAGAGAATGAAGAGTTTGACGTTGAGATCAAACCAGCATGAGTGACATTATGAGAGAGTACAAACAAATCTATCGTCAGCGTAACAAGTGACATTAGCAGGCCGAACACAAGGAAATCCCTAAATTAACTGAAAAGCAGAGGGCCCGACACCAAACTTTGAGGAACGCCGTATTGTTAACCCTTTGCGCTCTCTACAAACGATGTTTTTACGCCGCCGTCCAAGAGTAGTAACATTCCTTTAACCTTTTTATCTTTTGCCATGTTGCATCTAGGCCTGTCACAATAAGCGAGAAATCAGTTCCTTGCATGATAAATTAGAAGAAACTCAATAATTTTCATTTGCTTGATTTATCGTTTTCTCTTTTCTCTCTCTCTTTTTACCAAAAACTGAGTGGTGAAAGTATCCAGTCTGGTTGTTTTGGTCTCAACTAGCCCCTTTTTGGAAAGATAAGTTTGTATACAGAGACTTCATAGTTCATTGTGCTTGTTCTTTCTGCCGTTTTCTTTATTTTTTATATTTGAAATGTCTTCCAGTTCCAGTCTTTAAATGTTTATTAGAATTTAAACGTTATTGATCCTTGAGAATGCGTTCTTGCATTATTGTGCCATTACTAAAAACTGGTTTAAAAACAATATTATTGTTTATCGCAATAGCTTCTGGGACAATTTATTGTCTAGCAAAATTTATCGTGACAGGCCATGATACATCACAAGCTCCAATAAATGGGTTTATTGGGATTTCATATGACAGTCCAATTAAAAAGCAGAGCATAATTTGGACATGGAAGGAAAACGGTGGCATAAACCAAGCAGAGGACACATTAAACATGCTTTAGATGACGTGAAACATGTAAATCCCAGAAAAAACCCACATCACCCTGAATACAGCATTCATTTTGAGGTTATGAGGCAAAGAGCAAAAACCTTTGAGTGGTATGAATACTCATGAAAGATGCTGTGACATGACCCAAACGTTTACAGCTATAACACCAAAAAAAAAAAAGAAATCTAAAAAATGTCGATGTGATTATGTGGTCACTCAACTTGAGAAGCCAGTAAATAATTTATGATTTTTGTCTTTGCAATTTCTGCAGACATCTTGGAGATAATCGGAGCAAAACCTCGGCCATTTAGACGGATATTTGACTGAACTGCCGGCTTCATAATTTCTTATCTCTCAGTACGAGTCGCAAAAACTTACCAGATGTTTCAACTGCATTTAATAAGGAATGTTACCAATAAACAGACACTTCATGACTGGACGCAGAGACGTTAACACAAATAACCATCCTGGTCCCAGTTTACTCTGTGATGCAACTGCAGTGCACTTTGGTTTTCACAAAAACAAAATTTGCAGCTTTTCCACTCGAGGCTACGGAGGGAGGACGCTGCGCTCTGATTCTTTATATTCTTCAGGGAGAGGAGAAATGTGGAGACGAGGGCATGAAAACACAGACAGATCAGAGGGGGGCACCAGCACCGACGGGAAAAATGAGCTGGAGGATAAACAGAGGAGGCGAAAAACGGCCAACCAGGGAGAGACTGAGTGGAAAAGGAAGCAGAAGAACATTCTGCGAGAGAAATTATGTCAAGAGGAAAAAATTAATTGGTGGAAAACCTTTTACTTTTCAGACAACGCACTACTTGTGCTTCTAGGTCACATTACTCACTCTGTCTGCTCAA